AAGATTTTAGAGCCAATTTGCAACCTTTCACTATATAAAGTCGTCTATAAATTAAGATATCTTTAGAGCTGAATTTCTCTTGCTGCCACATCACTCATTCTGTATGGAAGTCTCACAGATAAGTCCGTCCATGCTGCTTTCTGAGAAAACACGAGGGATTTTCTTATCCTGTAAAGGAAAAAAAAAACCCTCCTAATTTTTGTACAGCTTGAACTGCACTGATGTATTAGGAAATCACTGGTGCCACAGATTAGTGAAACCTTTACAAGGGGAGAGGCAGTTTATTCCTGTCTTTTTTGGCAGCTGTGGAACAGGGTCTGAAACAAAACCCCTTGCTGGTGGCTTATTTATCATGAAAGATTTCTCTGCTGCTTGAGAGAGTAGGGGTGGCTGAACTGATTTCAAGACTGGAACTCAATACCAGTGTTGGAAGTAAAATAGAGGGGGTTTGGGTTTTTTTTAATCTATAATCTTGTGCTTTTGTTCAACTGAGTAAACATTTTGACTCAGGCACCCGGGAGTCTCTCCATATTCTCTAATCTTCAAAGATTTACTGAGTGTGATTACTTTTATTACTGATTAGCCCAGAATCACAAATTTTTTTTATGTGAGTTTTGTGACAAGGGGATACGTATGTGCTTTGGTAGGGTGGGGAAGGAATCGGTTAATTCACCTGTCCAGTGTCAAAAGATTTTCCGGTAGCTCTTCCTTTTGCCTGCAAGCTTATTCCCGTCTGTGTGTAAAAGGAAGATCTCAGTAAAAGTGAAAAAGCTCATGGGCAGAATTAGTGCCAAGGAAACCAGTGACGGCATTACTTTGCCGTGGCTCCTAACTACACTCTAGGGGAGGGTGTTCTTTCTGTCACCTCCATTTCACAAATAAGGAGACTGAAGCAAGGAAAAGTTTAGTGATTTACGCTTAGCCCTTAGTCTCAGCACTCCACGCACAAAAGTATTGCTGCCACATTGTTTTAGAGTATTTGGAGATTACAGGCATTATAGAAATGTGTCATCATTATCCTGGAGTCAGGTCTGAAAAGCTAAAAATAATTCTACATAAGCTGAATAGGAAAGGGTGGAGGAAGGAGAGCTCCTTGATGTACTGATTTTTTTCATGAAAAACAAAGCAATAAAATTCTTCCATTATTTATAGTCTAAGGGGTCCCATGCTAAGAAATTTGTAAACAACTGCGAGAGCCACATGGGAATAGGAGTCTGAAAGATTTATTAAACTGCAAAAGGTCAGAGGAAGGGAGTTTGCTTGCCGCTAGTGCAGCTTCAACCCTTCAGTTTCCCATGTCAGAGGTTAAATGCATGACTGATTGCTAACTCCTTGCCTAGATCCTTAGAGCTGCACTTTCCGTTGGCTGTTGACATGTCCATGAATGGACATCCAGAGCTGGCTCCTACAGAAGTGGTCTCAAAAGCTATATGGTCTGTGTCAGAATTGGGCCCTCAGCCCAAGGCAGAAGTTGACATTCAAGACGCTTTCATGGCATGTGGATGCCTGATAGGTAAAGGATAGACTTGTTCCAAACTGTTCTGAAAACATCCAACCCTCTTCCAAAGATCAGTGCTTATCCATCCATCTTCTGGTATTTACTGCTGAGAGACTAACCCTTGCCCATAATTCCATGTCCATAACACTCCTCACTTATTTTCTTTCTAAGGAATTGAACCTTGGTCAATTCCAACATCAGATTAGTCGCTAGGGACTGGAACCAAAAATACGTGTATTTGCAGTCCTTTATCACACAGTGAGGTAACCAGGTGGTAGAAAGGGTCACGGGGAGCTAACCCAGGAAGCAGTCTGATCACCGGTCACTTACGGCCTGCCAAGCCCGTTCCACATGGCACCAGAATTAGTTCAGTCTGGAAGCCGTAGTCAAATCTGTAGTGACTAGTTTGAAGGTGGACTGCAGTTCATCTGTGACGGGACTACGTAGCCTGCTCTTGGCCTTCCAAAGGCACCTGCAATGAGGCTGATGGCAAAAAAGTGTTTCTCAAAAGCCACAGGCAGAGAGCAGCTGAACTCAGTTGTGCAATATCCTTCTGGCTTTCCATGCACT